TGAACACATCAAGCCACTGTAGGTGACCTAATTTCAAAACTGTTATCTCAGGAACTAAAGATGCCTAAGGAGAGGGAAAAGAGACAGGAAATGTCCAGTCAATAAAGCAGGTAGGATGCACACATTTACTGATTAGAGCACTCACTGCCTTACATGAGTATGATTCACAGCCCTCCAAAACAGTTACAATAGCAGCATCAGTAATCAGTGATCACAAATCACCAAAACATGACAATGAAAAGTTCAAACTAGGAGAATTACAAAGGGTAACACAAAAAGAGGATTTGAATCCATGCTCCTAGAAAAGTGGCACTGGTAAGATTTGTTCAAAGTGCCGGGCGGTGGTGGCGCACGCCTTTAATCCCAGCACTTGGGAGGCAGAGCCAGGCGATCTCTGTGAGTTTGAGGCCAGCCTGGTCTACAGAGTGAGTTCCAGGGAAGGCACAAAGCTACACAGAGAAACCCTGTCTCGAAAAAAAACCAAATAAATAAATAAATAAATAAATAAAACCCTTCCTAAGGTCTCAGATTTGTTCAAAGCAAGATTACAAACCTTCAACTTGTAAAAATACAGTATTGTGGTGATACTATGTTCCCCCAAATATTGTGCACCCTAATAAACTCATCTGGGGTCAGAGAACAGAACAGCCGCTAGATATAGAGGCCAGAGAATGGTGGCACACACACACACCTTTAATCCTAGCATTCCGAAGGCAGTGATCCATCCAGATCTCTGTGAGTTCAAAGCCACACTGGAAACAGCCAGGCATGGTGACTCATGCCTTTAATCCCAGGAAGTGATGGCAGAAAGCAGAAAGATATATAAGGCATGAAAACCAGGAACTATAGGCTGGTTAAGCTTTTAGGCTTTAGAGCAGCAGTTCAGCTGAGATCCATTTGGAAATGAGGACACAGAAGCATCCAGTTTGAGGAAACAGGATCAGCTGAGGAATTGGTGAGGTGAGGTGGTTGTGGCTTGTTCTGCTTCTCTGATCTTCCAGCATTCACCCCAATACCTTGCTCCAGGTTTATTTTCATTAATAAGACCTTTTAAGATTCGTGCTACACAGTATAGTAAATCTAAGAGCCAAACAAGATAGACCTACCTATGTGACTTTTTTTTTTTAAGTCCTTAAACATGGGTCCTTTACAGCCTGAGTACTGAGAATGAGAGACTTACACATTACTGGGCTGTCTTGCTACACACATCTAAATATATCAACTAACTATAAGTTATTCCAAACTAAATGAGAAGCAGCTGGTGCTTCTTTGTCAAAGGCATGAAAGCAGGCCTTTCTTGTCTTGTGCATGCCTGAAATAACAGTACTCAGGTGGAGACAAGCGGCCAGAAGTTCAAGGTCATCCTTAGCTACATAGCAAATATGATGCTGGTCTTTGTCTCAAGGAGTGTGGGGGGTACTTTTCTTTAAATTAAGTTTATGCACAAAGACATGGGATAGTTTCAGCCTAAAAATTAAGGATGGGGAGATGCTCAGTGAAGTGCTTTCCTTCTCAGCTTGAGGAACTGAATTTTGATCCCTAGCTCTTATCTAAAAAGCTGGATGGTGCACCAGCATATCTGTAATTGAGTGCCAGGATGAGACAGGTGGATCCCTGGAGCTGGCCGGCCAGCCAGCCTACCTACCTAAATCATTCAGTAAAGAGACTGTCTCAAAATAGAAGGTGGAGCTCAGTCAAGGAAGACATCCAACACCAATCTCTGGCTTACACATGCACACATAAAAACAGACATGTACATCATATATGCCAAACACACTTCCCTATATATGGTACATGTATTCTTCATCAGATAAATGTAATAAACCTAACATGCTTGCATTTAGAGTTTATAAGCATCTCGATAAAAAAGAAAACAAGGGCTAGAGAGATGGCTCAGCAGTTAAGAGCTTTGGCTACTCTTCCACAGGTTCTGAGTTCAATTCCCAGGAACCATATTGGTGACTTACGACCATCTGTAATGAAATCTGGTGTCCTCTTCTGGTGTGCAGGCATACATAGTAAATAAATAAATCTTTAAAAAACAAAAACGGGGGGCTGGAGAGATGGCTCAGAGGTTAAGAGCACTGCTTGCTCTTCCAAAGGTCCTGAGTTCAATTCCCAAGCAACCACATGGTGGCTCACAACCATCTGTAATGAGATCTGGTGCCCTCTTCTGGTCTGCAGGGATATGTGCAGACAGAACACTGTATACATAATAAATAAATAAATCTTTTAAAAAAAAACAAAAAAACAAAAACAAAAATGGGCAGTGGTGGCTCACGCCTTTAATCCCAGCACTCGGGAGGCAGAGGCAGGCGGATCTCTGTGAGTTCGAGGCCAGCCTGGTCTACAAAGTGAGTTCCAGGAAAGGCGCAAAACTACACAGAGAAACCCTGTCTGGAAAAACCAAAAAAAAAAAAAAAAAAAAAAAGACAATATTTTGTAAAACTGTTTTATGCCAAAATAACTACAACTGACATAAAACTGTACTTTTAAAGTTTCAACTCAAGTCCATCAGTCAGTATTTACAGCAACTGTTATGTACTGGGAAGTTAGATACTAGAGTTGTACTAGATCCCAAAGCTTTAGTCATATAACACCATTTCCTGGGCTGGAGAGATGGCTCAGACGTTAAGAGCACTGGCTGCTCTTCCAGAGGTCCTGAGTTCAATTCCCAGCAACCACATGGTGGCTCACAACCAACCATAATGAGATCTGGTGCCCTCTTCTGACCTGCAGGTGTATATGCAGACAGAACACTGTATACATAATAAATAAATAAATGTTTAAAAAAAAAAATTAAAAAAAAAAAACCACCATTTCCCTGAATGCTTTTGACAGCTCCACTTACTATCTTCCTGGTTAGGGGCTACTGCAAATTACCTCATGCAAGAATGGCACCTCATCTCTGGCTCTGTGGTACTCAGCCACGCACTCTAAGCAGTAGCAGAGGTCTTCATCAGCTGTTTGAAATTCACTCGAGCCAGTGCTAGATGCATAGCACTTTAGGACATCAACGGTGGAAGGACCACCTGGAGTACACCAACAGCATGTGCTCATTCTGTACCTAGAACAGGAAAAGAGGACACTGAAAAGGAGGAAAATTAACACTCAAGACTTATTCTTTATGTACGACAGGCATACCTTCTGCTTGTGATCCAAGTTCTCTAAAATGTTTTGCTGGCTATCTTATCAAAATTGATTAAACCCAAATCTGAAAGCAGGGCAGGGGTGAAGGATAGTGGCAGAGTACTTGTCTTTCATGTAATCCCTGGGTTTGATCAACAGCAGCAAAAAACCTGAACACATTCTGTTAGTCACAACACCATAATGGGTATGCCAATATGTGCCAAATGGGTTGAAACTACACAGTACTGATGCAAAATCAGAGAAAGACACAAATTAATGTCTTCAAGATACAGATTCTGAAGTCTTCCAATAACTTAAAAAGGTAAAAAAAACCTTCATATTCCTAAAAAGCAGTAAAAACCATATAAATCTATATCAATAGTAAGACACACAAGAAATAGTAAGATTATTTCTGCTATTTGACAAGATATAAACAAATTGCTGCCCTATACTCACCGATCTTCAACCAACTATAAACTCCTAATAGCTAATAAACATAGTAACCTTGAATGTCAGCAATCTGAGAGACTTGTCTCTCTTCCAGGGTCTTTGAGAATCTCCTCTATCCTTCACGTTTTTTATTCCCTTCTTTCCTGATCAAAGTGGTTTGGATTTCTGTTTGTCTGCCCCTACCTGAGCAATTGGGAGTGTCAGGGTACGGATCTATTCTATATATTTGTTAACTCTAGTACTCCGATAATTATCAAAAAAAAAACCTGGAAAAAAAAAGTGATTGTTTTAAAAAGACAATTACCTTGGCAAATGTCCTACAGAGAAGTGATCCTCTTTGTTGAGAATGCTGGGCTTATTTGTGAATAGATGAGGCTCTGCATTCAGATATACTCACACTTTGGCCCCCAAAAAGAACATTTCTGAAATTAAAAATGAAATAAAAACTGATAAAGTGTCCCTTACATTAAGCATCTCACCTGGGCCGTACATCAACCTTGCAGTGTCACCTGATGAGTTAGCTCGGTCAGGTTAGACGACACATCCGCAGATAAACACACTACGGTGCACGAAGGGGAGCGCTGTAACACTGATGTCCTAACTCCTCCAGGGGCTGTCTGTCCCTCATAGGGGGCCAGGTGGGCATTTGGTCGTGTCTGCGGTGGGCGTGCAGGAGGTCGTCAGCACTGCAACGTCTGGGGTCGCGGGGCACGCGTCCGGGTGCCCGTACGGAAGCGACACCTGGACGGAGGGCTACATCCTGCCGGCCCCTTCCCCAGAGACCTCCCTCGTCCCGAGGCTCTGCTAGGCGCCCTGGCCGTGCATCGCAGCCCAGAGCCGGCGGCGCTGAAGCCTGAACGGCAGGTTTCCCGGGGCGGGCCTGGCCTGCGGGAAGCACCAAGCACTGCCCGCCCGAGGTCGCCGCAGCTCCGGTCGCGCGCTGCTCTCCCGAAAGCAGGGTCGGAGTGGGCGCCCTTTCCCGAGGGCCGCGCGCAGCGCGCGAGTTACCAGCGACAATATGCCGCGCGCCCCACCACGCGCCCGCGCTTCTCACCCGGCTCGGCCCTGCTGCAGCGCGCTAGCCCACCTCCATGCCTCGGGCCCGACGACTAGCCGCTGGCGGAAATGCTGGGCACAGCCCTGCGCCCAACCCGCTGCCGCCGCGCGAGCGGGCCCCGCCCCCGGGCCGCCCTAGCCACAGCCTTCTTGTTTTGGTGCGCCAAGGGGGCGGGCCATGGGGAGAGCAGCGGCGGGGAGCTACGGGCCGGGCAAAGGCCAGAGCGCTGCCGTCACTTCCGGGCTGGAGGGGAAGTGCGACCCATCAGCGCCCGTCCGAAGGGGCTCTGAATTAGCTGCCGAGCCGTGCCCCGCCCCGCCTTTTGCCCCGCCCCGCCCCGCCCTCTTCCCCGCCCCCGGTCGGGTTGGACACTTACTTCCCTACCAGCCGTTTCCGTTCGGCTCTTCCGCTTCCTAACGTCTGAGGCGCCCAAGACGGCTCTCTTCTCTTTCGGTCAGAGACCCAGACATTAAAATGTTCGCTTGAGGCAAAAAAATCGGTCCTGCAGGGCGCCACCTGCAGGCAGGCCCCTGCAAAGCCCACACGGTTCAGTCCTTGTGTTCCTGACCGGTTAGAACAGGTCCCGCTACGGAAGAACGCGGTCACTCCAGATTCCCCCAAGGGCAGCTGGGCCGCCCACAACCACTGCCCGCAGAAACGGGAATTTAGAAAAAAAATCTCTTTCTAAGCCCCGCACGATGGTAAAATCATTTTACAAGCTCAGCACTTGAGGCCAGAGGACCGGAACCTGAAGGCCAGCATCCTACACAAAGCGAATTCGAGGCCTACATTACAGTCACCAAAAAATTATTTAAAAATTAAAATAAAAAACATTACAAAAAAAAAAAAAGGGGCAGGAGCGAGGAGGTAACCCGGGAGAGCACTTACCTAGCCCACTGAGGCCCTGGGTTCCATCGCCAACGCCGCAGAAAAGAACCAGGCAATAGGTGGCGGAGAATCAGAGGCTGTCCTACCCCGGAGAACCTTAACGCGAATGAGAAGCCGGCGTGAAAAGCACGAGGGTAAGACTCGAAGGAACGTTCCAGAAGGGGGCGTGGTTCTACCGTTAGGGGCTTTAGCCAATCAGGAAGCAGGAGTGAAGCCCAGCACGAGGCCGACCGTTATTTTCTTGCCTTTTGGGTTGTTTTTTTTTTTTCACTTTCATCAAAGGTTTCTATCAAAATCAAAGTTGAAAAGACAGTTTCAAATTAAAAGTATAATGTAAATGAATGGCTTTTAAAATAGCACATACATGTGATACTTTTTTAAAAAACCAAGGCTCTGCATACCTAACTGAAATTTTCAGAAATGAGGGGAAATGAGATGATAGGAACTACCCGAACTTCCATGTCCCTGTTGATACAGAGCCTTTCAGAATTCGTTACACAGATTACAGATCTCAGCTAGTGACCATGTTGTTTTACTCATGAAAGAACGTAAATGCTAAGTTACTCCTTGAGCGTCAGAAACATGAGTCTGGAGCTGGGGAGATGGCTCAGTGCTGGCTGTTCTTCCAGAGGACTACGTTCAATTCCCAGCACCCACAGGGCAGCTCACAGTGTCTAATCCAGTTCCAGGGGACCCGACACCCTCATGCAGGCAAAACCAATGCACATAAATTAAAAAAGAAAAAAGGAAACATTAGTCTGGCGCCGGACAAATACCTCAGCAGTTATGAACACTTACTGTTCTTTCAGAGGACCCAAGATCAGTTTCTGTAACCGACTCGAAGCTCACACATGTCTGCAAACCCGGTCCTATGTGATCAGAACGGATGCCCTCTTCAGGCCTCCTCAGACACTGCATCAAAAGCAGTGCACATACACATAAAGATAAAACGATAAGCAAAAAATTAAAAAAAAAAATACTCTGAATTCTGAAGAGGTGGACCTATCCTTAAAACAGGGTAGCTTATACCTGGGAATGCCCCAGAATATAAGGAGTACAAAAATGTTTTGTCTTCTTATGAAATCAGGACCAAAAACTTTTAGGCTGCCAAAGATATTTTCCATGTGACCGTATATTTGTCCTTATACCAACACAGTCATAATGCATGATTTTTACTACTACTTTTGTGGATGAAAATGAAGGCAACTATTTCCTGCAGCCCACAAAATGTCTCTGAAGTCTCTGTGGCTCTTTATACTCTTCCTATCCTTGTTTTATCTATAAACAATGTAACAAACTTTTAACTTTTCTTTTTTTTTTCTTTTTTTTTTTTTTTTAAGGTGAGGACCGAACCCTGGGTCTTACGCTTGCTAGGCAAACGCTTTACCACTGAGCTAAATCCCCAACCCCAACAAACTTTTAGCTTTGCATAATTGGATTTTACCCTCAATCATAGCACTTGGGAGGAGGCCGGAAGATCACCAGGTGTTCCAGGCAAGCTGGGGCTATATAGTGAATTCCAAGCCAGGCAGGATGCAGAGCAAGACCTTGTCTCAAAAAGCCGAATAGGAGTTTGGAGAAGGCCAGATGCCCCTTTCCCACGGAGAAGATTCAGGCTGCTCTCACCCTTGGCCAGAGACGCTTCTTCTTGCAGTGGGTAGCAGTTACCGCAGAGACTCATAACTGGTCCAGGGGCCCAGTATAAATGAGTACTCAGACGTAGGGCGTCCTCTACAGCGACTTCACACCAGCGAAGACTCAGAGAAGGCAGAAAGAATGTAAGAATCAGCAGGCGGGAAGGAGAGCTGTGGCACGCTGACTTCCGGACTTGGCATGACTGGTGCAGGCATGAACGCACAGTAGCTATGGTTACCAGCAACGTCAAACCAGTCAAAAGCCCAGCACTGGTGGGGGAGGGGAGGGACCCCAAGACCCCACCCTTATCAGGTAAGCTATTGGCAGTTCCTGGCAGTTGCAGGAAGGGTCAGTCACTCTCCTTTGGGGGAATGTGAACCCGGTAGGTGGCTTGTTCCCTGGTGGATGGCCACACCCCCACGTGTATGTGGGCAGCTCTAACTGGACTCAGGGGGATTAATAACAAAGAAAAATAAAGAGGATATGAAGCTGGGAGAGAGGGGCCACTAGGGGAGTTAGAGGAAGAAATATCAATATGCATTAATACATAAAGCTTTTGAAGAATAAAATATATTGTTTTTCAGCTAAATAAAGTTGACCCTAAGGAGTTGAGGAGCCCAAACCATGTACAAATGCTAATTCCAAAGAGGCAAGGAGAAAGACCACCAACCCAAATCACCAAGGCCAAATTAATTAAAACAATCAATTAATTAATGCAAACTTTTTTATGGGTGCACGGGCTGCCTCTCCTAAGGCAGGGTTCAAGAGGTCAGCATTGGACATGGGCAAGATAAGGTTTTTCTAGCTCAGGAATAAGGGATTTCCAAATGGGATTTGGCAGGCAAATAGATGGGATTACAGAAGCAGAACATAACGAGGCGATCCTAACAACAGGCGGTCATAAAAACCTTTTGAAACAAAGGTAGAGTTGCAAGATGGTCAAAAACAAAGATGGTTCAAAACAAAGACTTGGTCGCTGTTTCTTTCCCAAAACAGATAGTACAGAACCATCTGTAGTTGAGGTTATAGGTGGGACATAGCCCAGTCTTTGAGAAACAGAGGTTGAATCATAAACAGGAATGAACCTAGTTTGTCTTTATTATAAGACGGCTTTAAAACCCAGGCTGGTTCATCACAACAAAAGTACAACAACAAATTTGTGAATGGAAAATTGTTTTGTTTGTTTGGAGACTGGCTTGAGCACTCACTAGGTAGCTTCCACTGGCCTTGAACTCTTTACAAGCACCCTGTCCCCGCCTGCCTCCCCCCTGCTTAGATTAAGGTCTGAGACAGCCTGTTGCTTCTTGCCCTTGCCTGCACTGTCCATCACCACTATCCTGCAAAGGGCTTGGAGAAGGCCAGTCCACAGAGGTACATGGACAGCCGCAGTCAGGTAGCTGCTGCCAAGAGGCTGCCATTGGCATCAAATGTCACCTAGGCTAGTCCAGAACCTGCCATGTGTCAGAGGAAAACCTCCTGCCTCTACCTCCCAAGTGATGGGATTACAGGTGTGTATCACCATGCCTGGTTTACCTGGTGTTGGGGATGAAGCCTAGGGCCTGACTCATTCTAGGAACCAACTGAGTTACATGGTCAGCTCTGAGTTCTCATTTTTAGATGCATATTTTGGGGGTTTTGTTGTTATTGTTTTTATTTTATGTGTATATGCAAGTGGCTATGGTGGTATTTTATTTGCACTGAAATGTGATTTTAACTGTATGTTAATAAATAAAGTTGCCCGGGGGTCAGAGCTATTAGAGCCATAGCAAGAGCGTGGCGGTGGTGGCGCACGCCTTTAATCCCAGTACTTGGTAGACAGAGCTAGGTAGATCTCTGTGTAGAAAAGGATACAGCCAGCATTGGAGACACACGCCTTTAATCTCAATCCCAACCATAGAAGACCTGGAAGTCTTTACAGACAGGCAGTGACGAGGCATGGGTTTACAACCAATGAGAAGACAGAACCGAAAGTCTTTATAAAGACAAACACACAGGAAATAGCTCCTTTTTGGAGAGCTCTCTTGGCTGAAGCAGGAAGGGTAAGGCTCTTAGTTCTGACCTCCTGGCTTTCTTCTCTGAATCGGCTCTGTGTTTCTTATTTAATAAGACAGTTGGTTACATCTACAAGTGGCTACATGTATATGACTATGTGCCACATGGGTTCAACGCCCAGAAGAGGGCTTTGGATCTCCTGGGACTGGAGATGGTTGTGAGCCACCATGTTATTAGAGGGAGCCCACCAAAAATGACCACTGAGACACAGTTTATAGCCAACTGAAAGTCTGTATTCCAGCCCAAAGTGTAGCCTCAAGCATTTAGACCAAGAGGGTTTTTTTGTTTTGTTCTGCTTTGTGTTTCTTTTATTTTTGTTTGTTTGATTCAGTTTTTCCAGAAACTAAAATAAGTTAGCTAGGGCATCTTGACCTTGGGTTCCTAGAATAGAGCTGGTTAATTTTCCACGGGAATCTCCATCAAAGAGATCAAATTCTAGTTAAACCTGAAACGGCCTCAGCAAGATTACAAGATGGAGGAAGCTCTGCACTCTCTTGCCCTCTCACATTGTGGGTGCTGGGAATCAAGCCAGGATCTCTGGAAGAGCAGTCAGTGTTCTTTCTTAACTGCTGGGCCATCTCTCTAGCTCCCATATTATGAGTTTTATATGTCATATTTTCATTGAAAAAAAAAAAAAAAACCAGACAGAGGTAGGCAGATCTCTAATGAGTTCAAGGCCATCCTGGTCTGAAAAGTAAGTTCCAGGCCAGTCAAGACTATATAGTTAGCCTGTCTCAAAAAGCAAACAAAAAGTATCACACACACACACAAAAAAAAAAAGTTTGGTCATTTTATATATTTGGTCAAGTGGCTGAATGGTACATTATTTGCATTATAATAGGCAATATAAAAGCCATTGTTTCTATTTGAAATGGGTCCCCTCCAAAGAAATTACTGTGTTTTACAACAATAATTTCTATCAATTTCCTCACCATTTTACTTTTGTTTCATATTACATTCACTGTTGTCAAATTTACATGCATATTTTAGTACACTCTATATGATTTATATATAAATGAAATATGTGGATTTCTGATTTGACATGTTTCAACTTCATACTTCTGTGTAACTGTCTCCAGTCAAGATCTTAAAACAGTTTTTTGGGTTTGTTTTTTTTGTTTGTTTTTGTTTTTTTGGTTTTTTTTGAGACAGGGTTTCTCTATGTAGCTTTGGTGCCTGTCCTGGATCTCACTCTGTAGACCAGGTTGGCCTCGAACTCACAGAGATCTGCCTGCCTCTGCCTCCCGAGTGCTGGGATTAAAGGCGTGCACTGCTGCCGCCACCACCACCCAGCACAAGAGGCTTTTAAAGGCAAAAACCACATCCTGGTATCTAACTCTGAAGCTGGGGGGGTGTTTGCACAAGCAAACAGTTTAACAGAAGCTAAGATAAGTTAGCTGGGGCATCTTGACCTCAGTTTCCTATATTAGAGCTGGGCAATTTTCCTCCGGATTCTCTATCAAGGAGAGCAAATTCTAGTTTAAACCTGAAATGGCCTCAGCAAGATTACAAGATGGAGGAAGCTCTGCACTGTCACTGTCTTGCCTTGTCACATTTTGGAAAATTATTTATTTTATATGCACTGGTGTTTTGCCTGCATATATGTCTGTGTGAGGGTGTCAGATCTTGGAGTTACAGTTGTTAACTGCCATGTAGGTGCTGGGAAGTGAACCTGGGTCCTCTGGAAGAGCAGCCAGTGCTCTTAACTGCTGAGCCATCTCTCCAGGCCCCTTGTTTGTTTGTTTGTTTGTTTGTTTGTTTGTTTGTTTGTTTGAGATAAGGTTTCTCAGTGTAACAGCTCTGGCTGTCCTGGGACTCACCTTGTAGACCAGGCTGGCCTCAAACTCACAGAGATCAGCCTGCCTTTGCCTCTCTGAGCTGGGACTAAAGGTGTGCACCATCACCCATCCTGTCACAATCTATTAGTGAATATTTGGGCTACGACAGGTTGGAGGAGCATTACAAATAAACTATTGTGAATTGGGGCTGTGAGTTATTGGCTCAGTGGTTATGGTAACCCCATAGATGCAAGGAGAAAGGCCACCGACCCAAATCACGGCCAAACAAAAGCCAGCTTTATTCGTGTGCATAGGCTGCCTCCCGCTAAGGTGGGGCTCAAGAGATCGGCTGTGGACATGGGGAAGATTGGGTTTTTATAGCTCAGGCATAGGGAACTTCAAAATAGGGGATTTGGCAGATAAATAATTAGGGTTACAGAAGCAGAATAAGTTGGTCATAACACATAACTGCCTTATGAAACAAAGGCATAGGTGTCATTTCCTGGAACAATAAATACAGAATCATTTGTAGTTAAGGTTGCGGGGGCGGGGGGTGGGGGGCATAGCTTAACCCTTGGAAAACAGATTTAATCATAAACAGGAAATAACCTAGTTTGGCTTTGCTATAAGAGGTCTGTCTTAGTTAGGGTTTCTATTGCTATGAAGAGACACCATGACCACAACAACTCTTATAAAGGAAAACATTTCATTGAGGCTGGCTTACAATTCATATTGGGTGGCAATGGCAGCATGCAGGTACATGGTGCTGGAGCAGGAGCTGAGAGTGCTACATCTTGATCTGCAGACAGCAGAAGCAATTGTGTGTCACACAGAGCACAACTTGAGCAAAGGAGACCTCAATGCCCACCCCCACAGTGATACACTTCCTCCAACAAGGCCACTTCTACTCCAACAAAGCCACACCGTCTAAGATGGAGGCAGGCTGGTTTATCAGCTAAAAGCACCTGCTGTTCTTCAAAGGACATGGGTTCAGTTCCCAGTCTCATATGGTGGTGTAACTCCAATTCCAGGGGATCTGAAGCCTTAAGCTTCTGTGGGCACCTCATGTACATGGTGTATATACTTATATGCAGGACAAATACTCATACACATAAAACTAAAACTTGTTTTAAAAAAAAAGAAAAAGAAATCATGATGAATAGTAGTGAACAAGTATTTTAAAGGGTCTATGTTTTTATTGAGCTTCGATATGGTTATACTGGTTAGCTTACAGGATAGAGGCTCCTAACAAACACATTAACCTTATAGGAAACTATTGTTGACTGAAAACAAAACCAAAACCAGAAATAAAAAGGAAAGGGAAGGGCATGGCTGCTCCTAGGTTTGGTGGAGGAGAAGGTTTATTGTAGATAAAGGGAGAGCACAGATAGAGGAAGGGACATCTGGGACAATCCACAATGGACATATCCAGGCTGAGCTGGGCTATGTGGGAGAGGGTGAGGGAGGGAAGGAAGAGGGGAGAGAGGGGAACCAGGTGCTGCAGTCAGGAGGTCAAAGGTACAAAAAGGAAGGTTACCAAAATGTCTGGATTGTATAGGGAAGAGCCTCTGGGGGAAGGGCAGCCCAGCCCCTGGACTGGAGAGTTCAGGGTAGAAGGTGTCTTAGGCCAGCCATATCCTGTAACAGGTAAGGACTGAGGGATGCTAGGAGAACCTAAAGGCCAGGTCTGGTTTGATATGTTAAATAGGCACCTCAGCCCATTGTTCTGGGTTGGAAATTTAACAGTGACAAAAATTCCCAGGAAGCCACAAATTGGTGGCACATGCCTTTAATCCCAGCATTTAAGAGGCAAAAGCAGGTGGCTCTCTGAGTTCCAGGCCAGTCTGGTCTACAGAGTGAGTTCCAGGATAGCAAGGTCTACACAGCCGAAAGCTGTCTAGAAGGAAATTCCAGAAAGCAGTGACACCTTCAAACGGAACCTTCTGTGAAACTGAGGTACTTCCTGATTACAGTGTCGATGCCTGTGAAGAGGTTGGACGCTGTGTCTAGAGCCTAATTATAATTTATCTTTAGCCATCTTTAGCCCCCGATGCAGACCTGACACCCTGTGACCAACAGATGAAAACCTTTTGGAACTCATTAACAAAGTCCTGCTTTATACCAACCCAGAGGCCTACAGCAGAGTCCTCTCTGCTCTGCTGTAACTACCTTCTTAACCTTTCTACCAATGTGTTGTAAAATTGCTTTAATTTATGACTCTTTGTTTTGTTGCTACAAAATCGTCATGAAATTGCTTTGATGTTGGAACATGGAATTTGGGGTAATGTAAATAAATCTGTGTTACTGGGCTCTATAATCACTCATACTTGGTTCTAGAATAGATTATCTTTTATCCCTTTGAGGAGAGAGCTGTGTTTTTGCATGGACATTATCTTCTTTTTTTTTTTTTTTTTTTTTTTTTTGGTTTTTTGAGATAGGGTTTCTCTGTGTAGCTTTGTGCCTTTCCTGGATCTCGCTCTGTAGACCAGGCTGGCCTCGAACTCACAAAGATCCGCCTGGCTCTGCCTCCTGAGTGCTGGGATTAAAGGCGTGTGACACCACCGCCCGGCTGCATGGACATTATCAACTCATTTGAAGAGGATTGTCTTATGCGCTGTTATGAGTGTGTGCTCCTGGCTGTCACTTCCTATTGTAAATCTTTTTACCATTATTCATTCTAAGAATGAGAAACACTCCTGAACTTGGTGTAGTGGCTCACCCTTTGATCTCAGCACTCTGGGAGGCAGAGGCAGGCGGATCTCTGTGAGTTCAAGGCCAGCCTGGTCTATAGAGGGAATTCCAGGACAGCCAAGGCTACACAGAGAAACCTTGTTGGAAAAAAAAGAGAGAGAGGGAGAAAGAGAAAGAAGAACTATAACTCATAACTCATATCCTTTCCTAGTAACCTGTGATGCAGAAGGTCTCGTCATTAAATATCTTCTTTGGTCTGCATGAGTCCTTTGGTCATTTTAAAATCAGATCATCTGTCTCATTGTTGTAAGAGCTCTATGCACTTTTGGATTCTAGGGTCTTTGTTACTGGTATTCGTTGCAAATATTCCCCTTCCCCCCACATCATGGCTTGACTTTTTTTTTTTTTAATGAGACAAGGTTGAACTATGTAACCCTTGGCTGTCCTGGCTGCTCACTATGTTGACCAGGCTGGCTTCTGTCTCCCTAGTGCTGGGATTAAAAATGTGTGCCACCATCCCTGTTGCTTGAATTTTTATGTTTTTAACAGTCTCTCTTTC